TTTTTTTTTCAGGCGCGGTATGCAGCGCGCTGCATTGCAGGCCTTTGTGCGCCAGCCTGCTGGTGTGCGCCAGCTGAGACCAACGTGTTGAAGCTTTGCCGTGGGTGCGTGTGCCGTCTCAATCTCACGCCACGCCCACGCCACTCCGAGGCTGCCCTTGCTCTTGATGTTGCCCCCAACCCCCTAAGCAGTTATTTGGCTCTGCTGGCCGAGCCTGCGCCGCCAACTGCACCTCCCTGCCGCCCCACTGTGCCGTGCACAGCAGCGCTTCCAAACACACGCAGCCTGCACCTCCCGCGGCCAGCAAGGCCTTTCGTCTAGTCCATCTCGACTGTTCACACCCGCTCGCACCTCTGGCACCCTAAAATCGCTCTGCTCGCCTCATCGGACCCCGCCGATTGCCTGTCTTTCCTCGCACTACTCACTCCCACGCTCGTTCTCTCCTTCAACCATATCCCTCTATCCATCCGTCCCCTCCCTCCCCTCTGCCGCATCGCATCGGCTCAGCATCCGAACACGCCTCTCTCTCGTTGCTGCTCAGAGAGGCTGACTCCCGGATCTTGTTCGCCCCTCTTCTAGACCTCTCTAGAGTGCTCGCTTTGGGATCTGCACCAACGTCGCTTCGTTTCGGGAACAGACTCCATCCATCTTCGCTTTCTCCTCGCTCGTTGCTGGATCGCGACAGCATTCTCGACTTGATCTGCCATGGCGCGTCCATTTTCTTCGTCCAGGCTCGCCAAGAGGGCCGCAGCCTTGGCCACCACCGCCCTCGCCATCTCGGCGCGTGGCGCAGCCGCCGCCGCCAAGGCTGGCTCCTACGAGGTGGTCAAAACCAACTCGCTAGCATCGGCCATGATGCTCGGTCTCATGGACGAGCAGAACGTCTTCATCCTCGACAAGGCCGAAAACAACTCTCAGCGCTTGGCCGACGGTCGCCCGGTCTGGGGCTCGTTCTTTGACCTATCCGACAACTCTGTCACCGGTGTCTCGGTGACCACCAACACCTTCTGCGCATCAGGTGCCACGCTCGGCAACGGAACCTGGGTCGTCGCCGGTGGCAACCAGGCCGTCGGCTACGGTGGTGCGCCCGTTGCGCAAAACCTCAGCCCGTATGCGGACTACGATGGCACCCGCGCCATCCGTCTGCTCGAGCCCGGCTCCAAGACGTGGATCGACTCGCCCAGCACGTCCACCACCCAGGTCAACATGCTTCAGTCCAAACGATGGTATCCCGGTATTGAGGTGCTCGAAGATGGCAGCGTTCTCTTCGTGGGAGGCGCCGTTGGGGGTGGTTACATCAACCGAAACACCCCCAATGTCGATCCTCTCTACCAGGGAGGCGGTTCCAACCCCACCTACGAGTACTTTCCCTCCAAGGGCAACGAGACGGTCTCGCAGTTCATGGGCAAGACGTCCGGTCTCAACATGTACCCGCACACCTACCTCATGCCCTCTGGCAAGATCTTCATGCAAGCCAATTACAGCACGATCCTCTGGGATCACGTCAACAACGTCGAGACCGACCTTCCCGACATGCCCGGCCAGGTCATCCGCGTCTATCCGGCCTCGGCTGCCGTCGCCATGCTGCCGCTCACTCCTCAGAACAATTACACGCCCACGATCCTCTTCTGCGGCGGAAGCGTCATGAGCGACACGCTCTGGGGAAACTATAGCGGTCCCGGCGGCGACATTCTCGGCATCACGGCCTCCACCGACTGCTCCTCCATCACTCCCGAGGACAGCCAGGGTAACCAGAACACCGCTGCCCAGTATGTCAAGGAGGAGGATCTGCCTCAGGGCCGCACCATGGGTCAATTCATCCATCTGCCCGACGGCACCATGGTCATTCTAAACGGCGCCGAGAAGGGAACCGCCGGTTACACCAACGCCACCTACAACAGCGCCCAGTACAATGGCCAGACCATCAATACCGAGGGTCTTGCGCAGGACCCTGCGTACGTGCCCGTCCTCTACGACCCCTCCAAGCCGCAAGGAAAGCGTCTCTCCAATGCGGGCTTCGGCGCCTCCACCATCGCCCGACTCTACCACTCGAGCGCCGTGCTGCTGCCCGATGGCTCGGTCATGGTCGCCGGCTCCAACCCGCACCAGGACGTCACGCTCAACATGCCCACCGGCACCACCCCTCAGGCCTTCAACACCACCTACGAGATTGAGAAGTGGTACCCCCCCTACTGGGGACAGCCGAAGCCTTCGCCTCAGGGCATGCCCACCTCCATCCAGTACGGTGGCAGCCCCTTCAACATCACCGTTGATGGCGCTTTTATGGGTTCGTCGGCCAACGCCAAGGCTGCCAACACCAAGTTTGCCATCATCCGCCCCGGCTTCTCCACGCACGCCATGAACATGGGCCAGCGAGCCGTCTACCTCGACTACACCTACACCGTCAACGACGACGCATCGGTCACCTACATGGTCAACCCGCTGCCCAACACCAAGGCCATGAACCGCCTCCTTGTACCTGGCCCCGCGCTCTTCTTCGTCACGGTGGCAGGCGTGCCCAGCAACGGCAAGATGATCATGGTCGGCACCAGCGCCACCGGCACCGGCAACGTCCCCTTCACGCCCACGCTCGGATCGGCTCTGGTGTCGCTCCCGGCACCTGTCAACAGCACCAAGTACACCGCCACCATCACCAGGGCGGGCGACTCTTCGTCGAGCTTTGGCCTTGGCAAGATCATCGGCATCGCCGTCGCTGGTGCCGCAGTGCTGGCGCTCATCGCTATCGGCATCTGCCTGTGGAGGCGCAAGGGCAAGAACTCGCGAGGCGAGAAGGCCGCTGCTCGACAGTCGGCCGCGCCTTGGACGAGCCGCGACGTCGGCTCGGGCCCCGAGTACAAGCGTGTCGACACTCCTGTCGGCTCCGTCAACGGCGGCCGCTTCGGCGGACGCAGGATGGACAGCTCCAACACGTTTGAGAGCTACCGCATGCACGACCAGGGCAGCGTCATCGAGAGCAAGGAGGCGCTCGGAGGCTACTACGACCACCCACGCAGCGGCAGCCGTGGCGGCTATGCCCAGAGCCCGCTCGGCTACGAGCAGCAGGGCCGCGGCAGCTCTCAGGGCGGCTACCAGCAGGGGTGGGCCGAGCACCACGCCGGCGACGCAGGCGCGTACTACGAGGAGGGCAACAGGTACGGCGGTCAGAGCTACGACGACTACCCGCCACGTTCCTACCAGCAGCAGTACCACCAGCAGCAGCAGCAGTACCCGCAGCAATACCAGCAGCAGGGCGGCCAGTACCACGACAGGCAGAGCTCGGGCGGCTATGGCCGTGCTCGTTAAGCCCTCGGATGCCAACAGCTTGGGTCCAGAAAAGCCGAGGGGCTTCCGATCATCCCCCGTCACCTCCGCTCTACTATTTCCTCGACGTTTCACGATGGAAGACCGCAAACGTCCCGTCGCTCGTTCACCGCTCTTTGCATCGTCCTTTTACATTCGCTTTTAGCAGGCGTCGTGGCGCCGCCCCGTGTGCGCCACCTGAGACGTTCTCTTTTTTTGTTTATTAAGCTGGCCACTCTCCTCTCGGACAATACACAATTGAACTTGGCAGATGTTTGCGTGAATGAGCAAGACGATTGAGTCTGAGAGTCTGTTTGCGCCGCGTGTCGAGTGCAGCAAGCTTTGTTGAATGTGGCGGCGATGGGGGATGAAAGGGACTTGATGAGGTGCGGCTTCGGTGCATTGCCATGTGGGCAAAGCCTTGGCGTTTCGGCTCGACACAAAGGGAAATAGAGTTGACAGGGTGGGGCGTTGGGGCGTGCAGATAGAAAGGGCGGCGGATGTAGACGGCTTGTTCATGTTCCTGGGCGCAATGCAACAAAGGGGAGCTTGAGCGATGCTTCGAATGCGTGCCGTTTCTTTGTTGGGCCGCTGCATTGGGGGGGGGGGGGGGGGGGGGGTTTGGA